CGTTCTAACCGCTAGACCACCGTCTATCTCAGCAATTATACTCCCTTTGTTTGCTGATGCCATTTCTAACACTTGTAATAATAAAAAGATGTGTTGTGATCGCAAATGCCTACAAGGTACTTTGTCGATATAAGTGATGCGTCGAAATTGCTACGAACAATCGAATGTACATAGTCTTCTTTGTGCAAAATTTTCATCTGTGACTGGAATCTTTTAGCCATCGTTGGTTTTCGTTAATTGGTAACGGTGTTCAGTGTCGAAGTTATATCACGAAATGGATTTTGAATTTGAGTTCATATTTACTGAGCCATGTAGTTGTGACATGTGAATTAAACGCGTTCATTGTTCTTAGAGATATTTCTCTGGTGACAATTATTGAAGTTGTATTCAATTAGAAAAACAGCGGGTGTGTTGTCAAACTATATGTGCAAAGTGTCGCATTCCAGCTCTCATCTACAGAAAAGGAAAGGTTTCAATTTAGGCACCTAAATACGCAACTGAATTTTTTTATTAGTGAATACTAAGTTAGATAAGATAACTACTATAATGCATATGTACCACAAAAAATAACGTCGAAGTTCAGTTTGAGGTTATGGTTGCTCTGGATCCAAACCATTGGTTATTACACAGGGAAATGGCAAGGTAAGGTTTGGAACAAGAACTATGACAGCAATATGGCAGTAGTGATAGAGTAGAATAGAATAGAATAGAATTTATGTACATTCCGTAGATCCTTCATAGGCCTAAGCCAAGGATGTAGAACAGGTCATAGCACAAATACAATACTTGTTCTACATGTCTAAACTTCCATCCATATCCTTTCCAATTCATCTTTCACAGTCAGCTTTCCAGTATGCATTATGGAACTCATGCAGTTTAAAATGTGTCATTAAATAGCTCTATAGTAAATCAAAATATGGATATAGGACTCTAGAAATACTACTATCTTTTTGAAACTTAATGTCTATATATCCACGTAGACCAAGGCTATAAATGTACTTGCCACTGATCTCTGACAACTCACCTGTTGTATGGTGGTAAATGTGGTTTTGGAACTCTTCATGCATTTTTATACTGTGAGTTTTCCTGTGAGTGCGGATAGGGGCAGAAGACTATAATGCTCCTTCCGTCAAGTCAGACTGACCTGTTATGCATTAATTTTCTTCACATTCTGTCTAGAAAAGGCACTGTGTGCATGAGAAATTCAGTTGAGAATTGAATGTTAATACTGTTTTAATTTTCATGCAGTATTTTTTGTTGCATTTATATCTTTAAATATTTATACAAAGTCTCAAACATTTTCTTAAATCAATATTATGGGTTTGCTCACTTTTAAAAGCATAATTGTAATTTAAGGATTAATTGATCATACTTTATGCATGAAGATGGCTGTCTTCTGTTTTGGTTTTGAGGTTTTCATGACAGTGAGTCTGAAGATGACTGTTTTGTAGGTTGTTGCGCTGTGTAGTCTGCTGGGAGTTTACTGACATTTCAGAGGTCCTTGCTGTCTTCATCACCGCCCTGATGATGGAGGCAGGTAGGATCTCTGAAGTGTCGGTAAACTTCTACCAGACTACACAGCGCAGCAACCCAGACTAAATGCTGTGAAAACCTCAAATCCTACATACTTTATGATTGTTTACTTTAGTCTTTGTAAGGATTTATAAATTACACATTAACTCTCCCTGACCTCAACATGAAATTATGTCCGTGCTGTGCGAGCTGTCTTCACCTTATGCTTTCATGCTAACAGTACCGAGTTGTTTCTGGAATGCTGTTAACATCTTTAACACAATATTTGAACCGTAGAAGCATGGGTAATCAAAAGGTAAAGAATCATTCAGTGTGAGATTGTAGTTGTAATTGTGCTACATTTTGTATAATTGGAATAATTAATTGTAAATTCTATTTTCAAATGGCCCATTAGGCT